CCCCAAAACCCCAAAACCCCAAAACCCCAAGATATTCAAAAATATAATTTTATTCATAATGGAGACTTTGTATATTAATCGAAGACTGAAGAAGCTTAATACAGAATCAGAGAAGTCGAAGAGTACGGTGAAGAAAAGAAGGAAGGACTCGCTTGATAGTGAGGAATTAGAGAATGAAGCTTTGGCAAAGGTACAGACAGAAAGAAAAGTTACGAAGATTCCATTTTAACCAAGAAGACTACGAAGACGCTGTAAAGGGTACTCTCCAGTCATCAACATATAGCTATAAGGGAAGGAAAGGACCAGATCAGGATATATTTTGGCCTATGCTGCCTGCGGAAAAGCCAAGTAAAGAATTACGGCATTGTAAAGGACCTTGTACGGATTGTGAAGACAGAAAAAGACCGTGATATTTTGTATGAAGCAAGCTGCCTTTTGTTGGATCTGTGTAACGGCACACAGAAACAAGTACTCCATTTGATACAGAATACAGCCCTAGATGGGCTTAGAGAGATGATAATCATGCAGGATGAAGAAATTTCGAAGTTTGCGATTAATACTTTGGTGAATTGGGCAATCAAATCAGCAAGTGTCAGGGACTCTTTGGTACAAGAAGATACCCATACTTTTATCATTGGTACATTTTTCTGTAACTTATAGATCTGCTACCTGACCTGGAAGAGGGACAAATGGTCAATGACTGATTAATCTTTCTTTGAAATCTTTTTAGAAAGCATCCTATGATGGAAGATCAATATGTAAAAGCTATTATTCCTGGCTTAATTACTTATTTAAAGTGGCTGGATGATACGCTCGAGCTTGAAACTATTTTAGAGATGGAGGGATTAGGTATTGAAGATGAGGATATTTTTCAAAGTATGTACTAAATTTAACTTCATAGCTTCAAAGGAAAATACGAGGAAAGATATTACAATTTCTATACTTTGGGCTCTATCTTTTCTTCCAGAGAGAAAGATCTGCAAATTATGAATGCTAGACGAGGACCTGATGCTCTTGGTTCTCAAATGCTTTAGAGAGAGTAAGAATCCATACCTCAGGCTTCCAGCACTCAGGTTTCTTGGGAATGTTTGCTCAGATGATGACATCTTGGCAAAGAAACTAATGGTTGATTACAACTTTGCAGAAGCACTGAAGACATCCATCAAGGACAAGAAGACTTTTCTACGTAAGGAAACTTGCTGGGTGGCATCAAACATAGTCTGTGGGCCGATGTCAAACATTTTCCTGGTCATGAAGAACCTTTTGGAAGATATTTGTCATATGTACCTTTATGATACACCTCAAATAATGGAGGAAGCAAGTTGAATTCTTCTGAACTGAACTCAGAAAATAAATGAGAGAACTATTGAGTGTTTATGAAAGGCTGATATCATTGATATCTTTGCTAAGAAGATTGAACAAGAGAAGCTGAATGAAACTCAGGAGGATATTATCCTCACTTTTCTAGAGGAATTTCTGAAGAAAACAATGAGATTTCCTCCCCATAAAGAAATCAAGACTATTTACAGAGAGAGCAAGGTAATGGAATTCATAAAAGAGAAAGCTCTTACAAAGAGTGAGTCTTCTAATGGTATCAAAGCCTATGATATCCTAGCAAGGTACTTTCGTGATATCAAAGAAGAGCTTTTTCCTAAATAAATTTCAATTTTGGAACCAGCCTTTGGGGTTTTGGGGTTTTGGGGTTTTGGGGTTTTGGGG